GAGCGAACGGTATCAAAAAATCTTCAAATATGTCGCACTAGTGCTCGAATCCATGGGACGTGCTGCCATTGCGAAAAAATTTCGCAGAATACGACCCCCCCCCCCCTAAATTCCCTCCTCCAATATGACCTCCTTCTCCATCCTACCTGCCACCTCCCTTCGATTTTTCCCGGAAAAACTAGCATAGAGCGGGAGTGGAGGGGGTTTATGGTGCACTTGAACCACGACGAATATGTAAAAGTCAACAACCGACAACCAAAACACCTTTTTCAAAGGCAAATATGACCCCTCGCTGGAAATGCCCAAAATACGACGTGTCGTGCTCAGAGCAAAAATAAATCCATAAAATATGGGAACTATGAAAATTTCAAATCTTTTTTCATCATCATTTTACATTCGTGTGCGTGCCAGCGTCATCCGTGCATTCGTAAAGTCCCCCACTGAAAAAAATGTCAGCCGTTCGTACCTCACAAAAAACGCCCAGCTATTTGCGATGGCAACCGCCTGGCGCGGGTCTTTGTTAAGACGGGTGACCACTTCGGCGATTGTCGCACACGATAACGAGTCAAGTGCTTTCACGAAACGTTCACTGAACCGTGATCGTCGCGTCAGGTATAATCTACCGGTCATCGAAAGGTACTCCGCCATTGACTTTATCTAAAAACTAGTTTTTAGGAGAAAATGGCAAAAGGACAAATATTCATGGAAATTACCATCAGTTCCAGAAAGAACCACGCATTCAGAAAGGCCATTTCCCTGGCACAACCGCCACTGCGAACCCATTGCTCGGCCAGTTCTTCATGCACAGCTTTATTGGACGTGGTTGGCACCGCCTCGACGGGGACTCGCTGATGATGCGCACTCAACTTCTCCACATCCTCTTAAAAAACAAGTAATAAACGAACATCAGCACAAAAGAGTTCAGCTGAAGAAACAGACCGATGATATGGTAGAGCTTTTGAGTTTCCGGTGAACCAGGTTTGCACTTCTCGGCGGCCATGTCCTTACATAGCTGCGACCTCGCTTTGGACTCTAAACTTTGTAACGGCGTGATTCCCAAGCATTCAAGAAACAAATAATCTAAACTAAAAGAGAGCACTACAGATAATGAACGAACCCTCAAGTTTTAAAACTCAAAGCAGGAAATGAGTAACTTGGGGTCTAAATGTACTAAAACAGGAGGAAAGGATAAAAAGGATAAAGTCTTCGCCGTTGATCAATCCCTTTGTGGGATGCGGCACGCATTCTACTTCCATTCAGAATCGTAGTGGCTTATTGAATGTGGCCTATACAATGACTTGCGGGGGCCAGCCGATGTACAAGTCAGTGTTTTATCCTCCCAGACGAATCTGGTACCAATTTACCGTCCCCGGAGGGTAGAAGGCTTGGTTGGCCTGGGCGGGTGTCGACCCGGGATTCGAACCCGGGACCGCGCGAGTGGTAAGCGCGCCACTTGTCACTACACCACCTCCGCCGCAAAACACGGAGAGGTACGAGAATCCATTGCAAAAGACTCAAGATTCCAAAGAATCCAGAAGTTTCTGCAGTTTTCCTTCTTTGAATATTTTTGATGCTCGGCAGCTTCCATCACGGACTACAGTGCGAGCTGCTAGCTGTACTGCTGTCCCCTGCATGCAAGCATTCCAAGAAGATGGGCTTTCTCTCAAGAAGCTTGGAATGCTATATTTTAGCTATTCAACCTTTCAGGCGAATTTTCCTATTCAGGTAGCAATACTGATCAATGTGGCGACTGCAGGCGCTGAGAATCTCAGCATCAAATTTCGATGAAGAAGAAATGCACCAACATAGGAGAGACCAGCTGGATCCCGCGATGTCGCGACTTTGTATATTATGGAACCATACTCTGTTTCCCTTGTGATGCGCATTCAAATGGGTCTCATTGATTTTGCTTATCCAGCGATTTTTTCTCCAGTTTGCTGAGCCAGTTAGGTTACATGATTCCTTTAGGCACTTTTCAGACGAGCGGAGAGGGTACAAAACGGGATGTGGGATGAGAGAAGGAATGTGAACAATTTATGCATTGTCGTTGCGTTCTTTGCTACTTATGCTAAAGAGGACATTTGACACCAATACAATCGATAGATTTTCAGCGCTTAGGAACGTCGGTGCGATGTCGCGCCCTCTAAAGTCAAGCCCTTCTGAAATGTGAAGATTTTAACGAAGCAATGTATACGAAAAGTCAGCTAATACTGTTCTGATGTCGACTACCTACACGATATCGGTGCTATCATCGACAGATTATAGCAGATCTGCGCTATCAAACTGCGCTAGCACGACTAGCCACAAGCTATCACGATTGTCTTGACAGTCTTCCAGCGAACAGGTTTCTTTCAGGTGAAAACTGTGAAACCTCGTTACGCTACGAAATCGCACACGTGAACCACAACCAGGAAATCACAGGTATCCGAAATATGACCTGTAGAAGTTTCGCTGAGAACTACCGATACCCCTACTGAGTGGTAGTACGCCTTCCCTTGATCAGTCTTTGTTTCTAGCCCACCCATTCAAATACGTAGATAAATCAAAATGAACTCATCACAACGAACCTTTCATGGCTATCTTATAATAGTGGATATAGGAAGTCAGAAGTGCACTACGACCATGCATATCTAGACACGAGTCGAGCAACATTGTACAGATCTTCACCAGCTGCCCCAACGTCTCAAAGCACGCACTTGATAATGCATCTGGAAAAGCGCCATCGATCTGCCATTCCAATTTTCAATTAGACGAACAACTTACCTGAATAAGGCCGATTCGCAATCAGAGCGATCAACTTATCCAGCACATTATACATAAATGCAACCATCGGTTCTGGACGCGCTTTGATGACATTCTGAAGATTGTACTGAACTTGTGTCTCATATTGCAATATGCAGGCTTATTGGAACCTTTCACTTTCGCATTAATTCATTATTATATGCTGATCGGAAGGAGTGCAAGAAACACAAAAAGCTGCCCTGTCTACTTTGAAGGTATATTTCGCAATGATTGGATGTCTGGAGTACTCACAAGTACGCGGCCTATTACAGATGCCCACCTAGTTCCTATATAACAAAGATGACGGAAGCGGGCATGAGGAAGCTACGTTGGTTATGAGTCTTCACCCATCGATCGTGTCTCTAAGGCTGCGTTCATACTTTTCGGCAGCGTACGCGTGGTGACACGCTGGCGACGCTGGCAAACGCTAGATCGATATCTATCCTTTCCTTGTCACTGCCGCTGCCGAACGCTGGAAACGCTAGCGTACGCTGGCGTACGCTGCCGCAAAGAATGAGCGCAGCCTATGATAGGAAGAGAACAAGGACTACCCACAAATGTGTCGATATTCCGAGTTCAAAACGAATCATTTTACCGCGTGAATCTTATTCGGGGTATAAGAGCATCTGTTAGGCGCGTTCATACATATCGCCAGCGTTTCAGGCGACTGGGAAAGTAGAGGTACCGATCCAGCGTTTCGAAGGTATGCCAGCGTTTCGGCCGTTTTTTTTACCTTTTCGCGGACAGTCTTTGAAAACGCTGGCGTACGCTCAAAACGCTAGGTCGATATCCATACGTTCCCAGTTGCTCAAAACCCGCGGTACGCTGGCGTCCGCTTGATCGACACCTTTACTTTCCTAGTCGCTCAAAACGCTGACGCAAAGTGTGAACACAGCCTCAAATGTGTACGGAGTGAATGTAAGAAACGTCGAGAATATTTTAACGATACAAACCTGTGCAGCTGTAATCAACGCTATTTCACTTGCTGGCGGTTTTCTTCTATCCGTGGATGACAAAGAATTTACGGCGACGAGAAACCTCTCCAGGTGTTCGTCCTTGAAAAGTAGGTAATGAAAGTCAAACGAACTGCTTATAAAGCTAACCTTTCTAGTGTTACGGAACATTTTTTCGAACTACGACCCCCCCCTCCACGAGATCCAAAGGACAGGGCACGCCATGCGTTGTGATCATTTCCCGAAAAATACGACCCCCCACTTCTATCATCGACTACGACCGCATGCTACCTTTCCTAGATTTTCCCAACTTCCCAACAATTATTCCATTTTTCGGTTTTGCCATCCATGTCCAGTTTTTCAGCCAAGAATTCCCGTTGAGCAGAAGGGCGGGTGTCAGGATTTAACTATCATTTTCAACTATCAGAAATAGTAATTGTATAGATCTTTGGCAGTTCCTCTCTCAACAACGGCCAAATACGACATCCACCCTTACAGCCGTCCGTGAAACAAGAGAAATCAACTACCAAAAAAATTTTCCCAGCAAATACGACCCACTCCTCCGCGTGTCAAAAAACGCACCCCCCCCCGTTGTGATAATCACAACTATGGCATACCCTGCCGAAGGACGCGAGGGTATTCAATACGTGTAAAAACACGAAGCAGCAACTATCTTTTCCTCCTCGTCCGCCTTCCCCCCCCCCCTTCCTCCCCGCTTGGATGATTCCCCAGCATGGAACATGTGAGAATGAAACTGTCAAAGCGAACCTGAGGGTGGACGGTACTGATAGCCCTGACGCTCACACTGAACACTGGTTTATGTCCATCAAGCCATCGGACATTCGGGAGGGCGACATCCGGTGGAAGGTAACCATAACTTCGATGGAAGACGATCGAGACATATTGGAAGGTTGAAATCTCCTGTCGACAGCCGATTATCACGTAGAAGAGGCAGCCACTGCAAGCAGTTTTGAATTCTCTAAAACAAAGAGGACCGACAGTTGTGAAAACATACACTGTATCCAATCGGATATTCGGTCTCTTCATCCTTATTATTTGCTTTACAAGATATGTGATAAAAAGTAAACAGTAAATGATGCCCGTCGTCCAAATCCACCGGTAATGTAACCGTTCATTACGGAGTTTAACTTCACCGGTGATGTGAGGCGTTCTTTAATGAAAACTTTTGAATCAAATAAAAAATAAAATGGAAAGAAAGCAGTAAAACACAAGCACAATTCGAACACTTACTTATTGTGATAAATAACTGCCGTTCTCGCAACAGAAACCATATCTGAACCTGCTCCCCTCGAGTATAGCACCCTTAGAGGTTGCTCCTGTGCGTTCATCAGCTGCACCTTGATTGAAATGAAATATTGCGAGCTGTACCAGGTCACGTTATGCTGTGAGGTTGGCGACTTCGGTAGTATATACATTTCAGGTTCCTGAAGCAATCTATTGTAACGATGGGAGTTTTGTGCGCTTGAAACATTTGGATAGCCTTCTGCTCCTCCCCATACCCCGCTTACGCCATTAGGAAATAGAAAAAAAAAATACTGAAAAAATGTGTAGAGGAACAGGAGCGCCATGAACAGGCAAGAAAAAGTATCCAAACAGTGGACTCACCGATAGCTCGTATTCGCCATATAGAAGCCTTTCGCAGGGAACTCTTGGATATCTTTAGTGAGTTCAGTGCCGGGTCCTCCACTAAACGGGGCTACACGCAACATTTCCGGGCTAAGCCGCATTAGCAACTCTTCACCAGTACCGCCTAAAACATTTGTCAATATTGTGATCGACCGAAAATCAATGAGTGCACCGCCGCATTAGGAAAGGTCACGATTTAAAGAACGCTCGACGAAACGTCCAAAAGAAAGAGGGACAGAGGAGTTCACTAACAAGTTTCAAAATTAGAGTCGTGAGTCTGATTGCAAAAAACCTTGTCCGTACTATAATTCAGTTTACATTAAACACTCTTGACGAGGCAAGCTTTAACGTTGCATCCATACTTTGCGCCAGCGTTTCGAGCGTACGGCCAGCGTTTTGAGCGTTTCGAGTGACGAGGAAAGTCGCTCGGAATGATCAAAATGTTGATGAAAAGCATAAACGCAGCCTAAGACGAGGCAAGAAGAACGCTAAATCCACAAGGCGAAATTATTGAACTAACTGCATTCAAAAAATGTGTAAGACCTTAGGTCGGACAAGGATCAAGCGGTGGCCACAAAAAAAAAGTATGAAAATTGAAATATCAGCATTGGAATAGTTGCAGAGGGACACACGGCGTACCGATCGAGCGTTGCTTTTCGTTTCGATTACCTCTCACACAGACACCGGTTCGCACAAGTGATCGTTTCCAAAACAGGATCTGCCTCGCAGACCGCAGACAGGAATTTGCGGGAGTCTACTCCAACCTCTTCCTCCCAGAGTCCCCCCCCCCCAGCTCCCTTAGCATATGAAGGCCTGTTTACTTGACGATAGGCGGCCACTGACTCACCAGATAGTTGGAGTGCCATATCTACGGAGAACGTTTTCAATCGCGAAAGTTTTCCACCAGGACGCCGAGCATCAGCAAGGAGTTTGCACAGATCTTCATCACTTAACCTATCAGATTCCTGCAATGAACGATTGTGGAAGTTAGGGTTTCAGTTGTAAGCTGTGCGTCGTGCACAAAAAATGGTCACCTGTCGATAGAACGAGTTCAAATTGAGCGTAACAGGCTGGAGATTCGCTAAGTTTAACTCTACAGATTTTCCTACAGAAGATCCCTCGGGAGTAGTGGCATCATCACTTCCTAAAGGTAACAGGTCCATAAAAGCTATGGGACTGGCTTCGCTCTGAACCAACCTCCTCCTCCCAGAAACTTGCGTCGTTGAAGTGGAGTGCGCACTCGGCTGAGCACCGCAGCTGCCGATGACCCACTTCCCATTCGTCGAAACGTCGACGTAGAAGTATTTGACACTCGGTCAGCACTGACTATGCTTTCAGTTTCTGCAGCGATACACGCTAGCGGAGCCATTGCTTCACCTGGAGAGAACGTTTTTGATTTGAAGGTTGACAGAAACTTGATTTCGAAACAAACAGGGCACCAGTCCGTCTTGGGGGGGGGGAGCATTTTGCACTTTCGCTGCTTCCCGTTGTCGTGTCGAGCTATCAAGCAGAGATCTGTGAAATCTTGTGAAGCCATGAAGCAATACCAGTCAAAGTTTGCAGAGACTATTCGTAAACTATTGCTGCTAGCTGTTGCCTTGGGAAGCAGCGATATTGCAAAATTTCTTTTTTTTCTTTTATTTTCTACTTTTTCACTCACTTTATATACTTTTTTCTTTTGTTCAAATCGCTTTGCACTAAAGATCCTATCATTCTCATCCGAGCGTACAAAACTTATGTGCGTACCTATGCTTAGAAGTATGGCACTTTTTATCACAAGAATGCTGAGTTGTGGGCAAAAGTCGTGCCCCAGGCGGGAGTCGAACCCGCACCTCACGCTTTCCGGGCGAGTGCGCTATCCGTTACGCCACCAGGCCGCTTTTACCTCTCAGCTTAACGGTTTTATGCCGCTCGCCCTATCATGCACTCCAACGTTTAGTTTTGATGAGCCGGGCTCACCCGTATCGGTGGATCAGTCGGCATTGAAACCGCGAGCGCTAAGCTTTAGAGTGTTTCTTGATCTAATAGATGCTAGAATATGGCACTTGTGTTTTTTCCCCGCGTAGAAAAAGCCTGGTGGATAGAATTGAGCGTGTTCAAAGTAGTTTTACGAGAAAGCTATTCGTTCGTTCTTTGGGTTTCTCTTATAGCAGTGTCCCTCGTGACTTATATGCTATAAATACGGCTCATACTGGAGTCTCCCCTAAAGCTCAGAGACGCAAGATTTTGATCTCTTCATGGTTATATAAATACTAAATTTGGTATAAGTGAGGGATATTTTCGCGATTTCTTTCAACTATCTTCTTCCACCACTAGGGGTCATAGGCTGAAAGTTATCCTTCCTAGACCTAAGTCTTCGTTAAGGAGCAGTTTCTTTACTCACAGGGCTGGATCTGAATATATAAAGTTCAGCAAGAAAGTGCAGGTGCCTGTATCTTTCTCGCTCTTTAAGAGAGCTGTGGGTCAATATCTAAGATATGATTCTTTTAGATAGGGTTTACGAGTTGTGCGGCATCTCTCTCACTTTTTGATGCTTATATGTTTTCATCGACACTTCTACCATTATTTTTATGTACTTCAACTTTTCAGTGTTCTTAACTGTTCTTGTTGTTGGAGTTACTAGACTTGTTCACTATTGTGTTGTGTTGTTTCTTTTTACCACATGTGCTTGCACATGTAATAAAGTAAAGGTAAATGGACCCCCCCCCCTCCCCGCCACAGCAACTCAGACTGGTATTAAAACATTCGGAAGAAGCAATGGGAACAAACATTACGTTCACGAACACCAAATAAGGCATTAAACGCTGGCTGCTGCTGTGCCAACAGAACCCGCTGTCATAGTCGACATACACATTTCTGACCGTTCCAGTGTGTTCACACCCATTAACACCTTTTGGAGATCGAGGACCATAAATCCGAGAGGCATACGAAACGAGCCTAAATACAGCATTTCAACAATTTAGTATCTAAGGTTAGGTTGTGCTGTTACGGTAGTTTATAGCCTTCGGACTGATTCTCACCTAGTCTATCGCAAAAGTCTGCAGCAGCAGCTGCCAACTTTTCTCGAGTTCGTTCATCGCGAGCTGAGCAGTTTGTGTACGGCTCCGATGCATCAATAATTTCGCATGCTTGCAAGACCTTTTCAAGCTGAAAAAACGAAAATACTATTACACCACATCATTTGTCACAAAAGAACTTGAATCTCTTCCTCGGGCGGCTTGATAGTCAGCAGACTGTTGATCATGTGCAGCATATTCAAGCGCCAGGCTGTGGCTAAGAACATCAAAATCCGAAAAGCTTGCATTCCCAACTGTCAAAAACTGCAGGAACTTCTTGGACATGGGACGGACGCGCACTTTACGACTAATTTTTGCCACCGAACCAACATTTAGGAAAGAAATTGAAAGTGCCATCGATGAAAAAGACCTATGTAAGGCATGCTTCATGAGGCGAAAGCCCATACATACGAATATTAACCCACTGACCTAGGTAAATGAAGCCTTTCCCTCCCCATCTCCAGACTGTTCCGTGCTGCTAGCCTCTCATTGCCAGCAACCGGCGTCATTTCATCTTTGCCGGGCATTTCATGCGAAAGGGCACGACATTATTTTCGATTTCTAAGCGTTCTGGCATACTTCGGCTCGAGTGCGGAGCCAAACCCATGGATTCACTGTAGAAGGTTACCTTGTGGAAAAACTGTTAATCCCTGTAAGCAAAGTGGTTCATTTGGACTAGACGGCAGCTTCGCAAGAGCTTACAAGTCTCACTTCGGTGACTAGCATTTCAACGTATTTTAACACATACCCCGATTAAAGTGCACGTCATACTTCGCGCCTCACCGCGCGGAGCGCTCATGTGTCGAGCGACTGCGACTGAGCGCGCTCCCGAATCAGTGGTCGCTGCCATGACCCAGAGATGATCGTAGGACTCGCGATATCTCCACCTGCCACTACCGCCGTGAAAGAAGTTGCAAAATTACGACCCTCCTTCTTAAATTCACTAATCTGGTAACAAACATTAATTCCCCATCCTCAATCCTACCTACTACCTTTCTAAAGACAGCTGGCACGATGATTTCATGCACTTTGAAAAAGAGCAAAGGTGCCCAGTAAAGAAAAATAGAGGGGGAAAAAACGCGGGCGAAATGGTGGGAAAACCACGAAATGGGAACTTTATCTCTTCGCTGCACTGCGCCAAAGGACGAGCGAACGGCTGGGGCGGGCGCTGCTATGGACGAGTTTACCGATTGGACCGTTTCTGCTGCAAAAGAACAGCAGTACTTTCTACGTCGCTCTACGTAACACTGCATTACACGGATGCACGGGCAGTCCATACACGTAGGCATGGGCGGTCCACAACGGCACGTCCTCCTGCTGTGATGCTATACGTCCAATGGTAGCCGGGCGGGGTCGGTATGTTGCTTTTCAACAGGGCTCTATAAGGGTACCCTCCTTGGAAAGAGCGCTACGCAGCCCCTGTTCAGGGTCACGGAACTCTGCCACATCGTTAGTTAGTTTTTTTTTTGGGATTTATCGTGCCAACTGCCTTCAAATTTGCCTACCTTTTACGCAATTACGGCGGTTTTTGCAATTCCTTGAAATTTTCCCAAGAAAACTGTCCTCGAAAGGGGGGGGGGTGAGTAGCACCTGGTTCCTCCACCGATGTCGGCCCTCTTCGCTAAGTATCCTCAACGTAACGCGTGCCCTGACTATTGTTGCGAACTCGTCAACACTTGGAACAACTGGGGAAAAACTTAACGTACTCCCCCTATTAACTATGGAAACCTTGATGATTCGGCAGTTTCCTGTTAGTGGCGGCAGCAAGTATAGAGCTCGTCGCTATTCATATGCATCATAATGCATGCGGCAACATTGACTGACGTGCAACAAAAACTTTTTCATGTCTGCATTTTCCAGGCCAATAACCCACACAATGCATGCAAACCAGAAATAGAATAAAGAACAAATGTTACAGCATATGAAGCAACAGAGGTGGTACGCGAGTGTCAAAGTGTCACAACCTAAACAAAAAGGGAAAAAAAAACTAAGATGTACCTACCTTGATCACGATGAAAAGGTCCGTCAAGGGGCATGACAGACTGAACGCTGCTTGACTGCATCTAAATGTGTGACATTAATCATTGCTCAGAACAGAAAAAAGGAAATATCATACCTCTCAGTGGCTTCCGCAAATGAGTTATTCTTATCAATCAGCCGTCTTATTTCTTCTGGGTTTACATCGAAATAAAAGTTCTCAGTAACCTTCCGTCGAGCTTTCGCATCGTAAATCGCTATCGAACCGAAAAGCGGCTCGAAGAATGGATCCACGGACAGCTTGAAATATGGAAGATACTAACTGGAGTCAGTTAGAAAAAACTAATACTAACAAATTCGCGATCCCTAAAGGATCCTATGATAAGACAGAAGGATTTATTTTGGAGCACCTTCACTCACTCAGACAACCGCGTTCATGCTTCGTTATTAAGATTGGGAGTTGCGCAACCGCAACTAAGGCTGCGTTCATACTTTGCGTCAGCGTTGCTTACAGCAGCGTTTTGAGAGGAAAGCGCAGATGTCGAGCTGGCGTTCGGAGGCCACGTTAGTGTTATTGGCGACTGCCCGCGAGAACCTCAAAGCAACCCGCTAAACGCCTAAAACCATGGGATACGCGGGTATGTGACAAGAGAATCGTAATTCACCGCGCTGTGGGCGTCGCGTGCGACGTCGCGCCGCAAATGACGATGGTTCCAGGTAGTAGATGGCGACAACAGGCAATTCAGAACCGAAAATAGTCATGAATGTCTACGATGACGGAGTCTAC